AATATATTATAGACGCAATCTCATATTATTATTGACATTTGATTTAATTAAAACATAAATAAGAACTTATAACGTTAAACTTAAACTTAAGTACTAGTACCCAGGGACGGACTGGGCCGGAGCGATACTGGTAACTTTCCCGGTGGGCCACAACTCAAAAATAATTTTTATTATAAAATCAGTAGGTACCTATACGTATAAATATAAATTATAAATATTTTGTATTTTCATATCATAACGGTTGAGTGTATTTGATGTTTAAGATTTTAGATTTAGGTTCAGCTGATTGACCAGCCCCTCGGCATCAATGCATAATTAGATGATATTATTATTTATAACTAGGGTGTAAATTTAAATTTTTTTCTGATTTTTTTCTGATTTTTCTTAAACATTTTTTCATTGATTTTTTCATTAATTATTATTTGATTTTTATTGAACTTTATTGATTTTTTGACGTTTTTAAGAAATTTTTATGGTTTGAACGAATTTTTCTTAAAAGTTAAATATCATTTTTTTTTACTAATATTTCTATTTTATTACGACTTATGTTTGCTCTTATGACTTCAGTTATACAAAACAATACTTGCCAATATTATAACTGTCGAAGATTTTTATTTGAAAATATTAATTAGCTTCTGATTGACCAGTGTCCAGTGATATAATGAAACACAAAATATAAGGACTATACCTATGTCCTATTTAAGTTCTATTTTATTTTCATTTAAATTAGCTTTTAATTTTTCTGGGCATTTTATTAAGCTTTGTAATATTGTAAGTTGTAACTAGTGCATAAAATCATAATTTTAAGGCATTTTTCTTGTTTTTTTTATTGCATTTATATCCATGCACTATTTATAACTTAATATTACCTAATATCTAATATTAAATTGTACACAATAAAAAATATAATATAAATTGTTTGTACCTACATAATAGTAAAATATAAAAGATAATTTGTGATAATTTGATGGGTATTAACAAGCTGATAACTGTGGGTACAGTTTCGTACGTTCAATGTAACGTTCTTAATTAAAAAAAGTGAATTTTTGAACTTTTTTTATTTTATTGTAGTGTGTTGTTACTTGTTTGATGATTTTGTAATATTTACTTATTTATTTGTTGTTTAAAATGGAAACTAAAAGAAAGGGTGGAGTTGAAAAAATCAGAGAGAGAGAGAGAAAGGATACTTTTATAAAAATCAAGTTGAAGTAGTTTAAAGAACGACCTATGTTTTTCACACATAGTGGATCAGTTATAGAGTAGGTAATAGAAAAAAGTAATACATTATACTCCGCAGTACATGTAATTAGGATAAAATACTAAACACATTGAGAATCTTAAATTATCTCCTGAGAAAATTGAAGATGAGTAGAGGATGCAACCATCATTTGTTAATACTTTGGTACCATATTTAAGTGTTACATTTAGTGATGACGAAATGGTAAGGGCCGGTCAAAGTATAGATTTCCCGGGCCGATTAGTTGCCCCAGTCCGCCCCTGCTAGTACCTATACACAAATTAATTTGGTCAAATCCAGAGTTTTGAACTTTTAAAACCGAGAATTGGTACATCTTATCTTACTACCTTAGGATTAAGGGGCCGTTACAGTTACACTTGTTTTCTGTCTTACAAGTGCGTAGCATAGCAAATTTTACGTTCAGCAAAACACGTTTATCTCCCGTTAATTTAAAAATTAGAGCGAATTGACCTCTTATAAAATGTAAAGGTAAGATTATTATCTAGACAATGACATAGGCATATTAATTTTAAAGCGAGTTATGTGTATTTTAAAATTGTAAATTGTTTGTACATCTTAAAATACTCATAAATCGCTTTAAAATTAAAATATAATAAAAAGCCTATGTCATTGTCTAGATAATAATCTTACCTTTACATTTTATAAGAGGTCAATTCGCTCTGATTTTTAAACTAATGGGAGATAAACGTGTTTTGCTGAGCGTAAAATTTGGTATGTGCAAATTGTTGTAAGACAACAAATGTCACTGTAACGTCCCCTTAACAATTGGTTTTAGTAAAAGTCCGGATTTTTATCAATTGTGTGATATTCTTTATCTTATTTTATACTCGTATATTAATTATAATATTTCATGTAAATTTAAAAATAATAATTTTAGTAGGTTAGTATACCTACAGTATATTAGGTACCTATACTCATTAGCATATCTACTCGAATATTATGATACCCGTTGTGGTAGTAGGATGTTACAAATTATGGATGGAGAATTATATCGCACGGTTAAAAAAGCAGGAACACTAAACTTTTTACTCGGAATCAATTTACTTTATAGGTACAGTTTGTGGAAATTTCTTTTTGGAATCGGTAACATTTCGAGAAAATCAAATCAAGCGGCATCTACTCAACTCTTTGATTGGTGGAGGATGGACCAGGAGTAATAAATATTTGAAAAAATTTACCTATACCTATTGGCTATTACAAACCGAATATTAGAATCCTCGGACAAAAACGCGCCTGATTAAAAACAAAAACATTCATATTATGTACTCAGGTTTAAAAGCATATTATACCAGAGCCCAGAGGAGCCACGCAATACCTACGAATGGATTTCACACAAAATACGCATTTAGCGAAAGCGCACATTCGGAAAGTTGCCGCCAAAACTATTTTCAAAATGTATAAGTGGTCTGGGTTTTGGAGGTACAATTTCGTGTCACCCAATTTAAATAAAATTATAATATTGATGGGTATTATATTAGTAGGTACATTCAACATTGAGTTGACCCTCCCTCCCATATTGGATACACCTGTTCAACTCTTGTGAGCCGTCTAATAGCTAAGTCGTAAGTATCCCTAACTCGACAGAGTACCATTGTAATTTGTAGCAATAATGAATCAAGTCGGAAGTCCTTGCCTGAGTGAACAAATACTTTATTATTATTTATTACCATAATTTAAGTTAAATATTCATAACACAGTATTGAATGGATTGTAGTTCCAATGATGAAATGAAATATTTTAAGTACCTATGTAGGTACAGGTAATGTCACTAGAATATTTTAAATCCTAAATGAATAGATGAAGTGTTAAACAACAAATTATTGTGATGACTGGCGTTAAGGTCCTCAGACCTCGTATTCTGATACCAAATAATAAATAAGACTCCGAGAGCTCCTCGATAGTGCAATACTAAAATATGCAAGGGCCTGTCGATGTAGTCACGTACACCAGGGTCCATCTGGTCTTCGCCAGAATTATACGTCTGCAGGAGTGTCACTGTCAATTATCGTAGTTTACCGAATCTAACTGTATAGATAAATTGATATTTTAGTATTTTAGTATAAAAACTAATAAAGTAGGTAATAATATTATAGTATTAAATAAAATCATTTTTAAGAATCTTCAAAAAAATTTACAATATTAAGGTTTTCACTTATTATTTCTATAATCTATAAAGATTAAGGTACGGTATGATAATTCTTAGACTCTAATAATAATAGATGTTAAAATATTTTAAAGAATAAATCAAGATTAGGTCGTTAGGAACACTTAACATATTGATTTAATTCTTCTAAAACCTATGTAATTTAAATGTTTTAAAACAAAAAAAAAAAATTGTTGAAGTAGTGTATATTTTAGTCAGGCTCAAAAATCTATGCAAATCTAGTGTTTTTGTACTAAGTTAACACCAATAAATCAAAATAAATATACATTTGTTTTACCTTTAGACACACTAGATTCACTTTAGGTATTTATATATTATATTTTTGATCATAAGTTAAACGCTAATGATTTTCATAAGGCTCATTAACAAATTCTGAGAACAAAATTAATATTTCAATGAAAATTACCTTCAATGGCCCAGATTGGCCCTTCAAGTGGGTAATGTCTAAAACTATATTATAGTAGTTCCATGATTAATTGTGAGATTCTATTAAGAAGAAATTAATTTTATTTATAAACCCATACAATTTTTATTTATTTTTTAAGGTTCTAGTTGATTATTTTTAATATTGACATCTAATAATGTTAATTTACCTATACATTTTAAAGAAGTGGTAAAATATAAATACCAACATGAAAAATAAAGGTTGGTATTAGCAATACCTACTTGTACCAGTCTATCAGTATTGAATTATCTTAGACCTTAAAAATGTAAGATACTAATTTGTATACTATTTAATTTTATTATCAATTTTGTAGTATAAACAATAGGAATAATATAAAAAGAATACTAAATTTATACAACATAAAATTAAATGTATTACATAATATATTTCAGTGTTTTAATGAACATACATGATACATGTTATGTGTTAACTTAATACTTTCTTTAAAGACACAGTGGTATTATCGATACAATGTATGGTAAATTCAGGCGTAATAAATGAGTACCTCAAAATAATCAACAAAAATACTTGTATACCATAACATTATACAGTCCTTGTTATGGCACAAATACTCTATCTCTCATTCTTTCTCTCTCACACAATGTATAATACAATATTTTATTTTCATACTTAAATATTCGTACATTTAAGTATTATAAATTATAATTAAATATTCTAAGTATACAAAATTCTTCCATCTACATTAATGGAGATGTAAGTGTTTTTATTATTATAATTAAATATTCTAAATATACATATTTCTTTCATCTACATTAATGGAGATGTAAGTGTTGTATATCATGTCATCAATTTGATATCGTTTGACAACAATTACTAACCGTATAATAATATTCTTAATTTCATAATCCCTAAGAGTAAAAATATTAATAGACAAATAATTACAAGAATTGTACAGAGAGAAAATTACCCGTCATCCTATATATCATCATTCGTACAAATAAAAAATATATATTGACTGTACCAATAACACCAAAATTGTTCATGCATCAACAAGCAATGTGACCTAACTTACATTAATCATAACTTAAGATAATATTTTGTAAAAATAGAGTGATTTTTAATTAAATTTCTGATAATTATAAGGCATTGATCAATGCAAAAGTCACCTCACTTTAGCTAGACTTGAACTTTTTTTTTGGCTGTTCTTCTACTACATCTAAAGCTGATGATTCAACTGCTATTCCTGAAACATACAATTATAATAAGAATAATACATTTTAATAATCAACTTCAATTTTTGTTATATACGTGATAAAAATTCATGTAATTTCTTTGGTACGCATGTTTTTGCTTGTTCTAATTGATCTGCAGTACTTGTGCCCGCATTGAGACCTATTAAAAAAAATATATAGTATGTTAGCAATGCTTATTGCTTAATTATATTACAAATATTTTCCTATATACCTAATGAAAGGTTCATGCTTTTTAATAAATCCATATCTTCAACAATTTCATAACTGTTACTAAACCCAAATAAATATTCTTTCCTGAAAAAAAAATTAGATATAGGTATTATGAATAATAATGAATATTATTGACAGTAAAAATATAATTTTATCAAAAAAATGTCTAACTTGTCTTGAGAAATACTGCAATCAATTACAGTTCCAGGATCAGCTTTAATGGCAATGAATGGCAAACTAAGAACTGAAGCAGAAGACGGTCGACCATGTATCTGTTCATACTTTTTATTTTTTTCAACAAGTTGTTTAAATGTAACTTGCTGTCAACAAAAATAAATACAATTTACACTATAAAATATATGTACTAAGCAAAAAAATAATAATAAAATATAAGAAATGTTATTGATATTGAGTGGAGACATAATTTAATTAAAACTGTACATACTTGAACAATTAATTCATGCAAAAATGCTTGTTTTTCATTGAGCCGAGCCATTAATTCTTCTCTCTCTCGAGTTAATGTTGTAGACTCCTGATATGAAGTCACTGGTAATCCTATCCATTTGATTTCTTTCTTTTCTTTTGATATAATATTCATGGCCATCAAAACATTTAAAGCATCATACACTCGTCTTCTCACATTTTTTTGGTCATACTGTTAAATTAAAAATGAACATGACATGGCATTTGAATTTTATAAAATAAAACATACTTAATTAATAGTTACACGTATTCTCTCACTTACGTTGCAAATTTTATGTTCAGAATGATCAAGTTTCCTCACTCATTTTTAAAATTAGAGTGAATTGAGCCAAATAATATATTATTTAAAGCTATTCTGGGCATTTCTTATTGATATTTTATTTACAAACTAAGTTATGAGAGTTTTAAAACTGTACATTTTAAAATTATCATAAGTTGGTTTAAAATTAAAATATCAATAAAATCCTTAAAAATGTCCTAGATAATAATCTTACCGTTAAAATTAATAATAGGTCAATTCACTCTAATTTTAAAAATAACAGAGTAAAATAATCCCTGTTGTATGTCAAAAAGCTTAAATATATTATATAATATAATCTTTATACAGTAAATCCCCAAGCATGCTCTAACCACCTTTTTTAAATTCAAAATCAGTTAATGATTAATTTAATCTATCAACATGAATCATTTGTAAAAATGGTCGAAGTACATATAATAAAAATTAGATTCAATCTATATTTTTGTAAAACCATTTTTAAGGACTGTTATCCTTAGAATAGACATTTTAATAACTAAGAAAGTACTCGTTCAAATTTTGAGTAAGGAACACCATAATTTTCAAAAAAAAAAAAATATCCCCTTAATCATTTAAAGTAAAAAGGGTGTTCTCATTTAATTAACAGAAGTTTGTATCATTACAGGACACTCCTAATGTAACACAAAAAACATCTAGAATTAAAAAAAAAATTGCCTTTAAGTTTATTTAAAAATTACAAAAATCAGAATTTTAATAAATTCATTATTAAAGGAAAAACAGAATTAAGCATCATAATCATAACTTATAAAATATTAAATTTTGAAACTTACTTGTTCAGCATTACTACCCTCTGGATACTCAGCAACAAGTTCGTCTGCTACTTCATTATAAGTAGTTAACATTTTACTTCGTACTTTTTCACATACACGCATAGCAAAATGGCGTAGACCTTTTCCAGGTTTTTCATTTCGTCTTCGCTTACTAAAAAAGATTAAAATATTCTTTACTATAAATACTTTTTTTTCAATTTATGAGAAAATTTCTGGCTTTTATTATTAAATGCATAGAATATTTTTTTTAAGAGGACTTGTTAGTCAGTCTAACTTAGTTTCTCAACTATTGTAAAAATTGTCACTATTATAGTTAAAAAGCATCAGTAACTTTATCAGTGAGATGAGGATCAAACATACTTTCCTCAATTTAATTGGAGAAATTGAATTTATAATTATTATTTATTGATATAGGTAATTTTGTAATAATTGAATAAACAACAATCTCCAAAATAATGATTTTTAATAGTACCTCTGATAAAAGGGAAAATAGACACACTTAAACAGCCACAAAGGTGGCACTTAACTAATTAGTAAAGTAAAAAATGTTTATACAATAAATATAAAATATAAGTTATAACTATAGAATTAAGACTTATTAATTAATTAATCTTTATTTTTAATCATAATGTGCAAGATTTTAAATAAAAATTAATTGATTTAGTGGACACAGTAATGTAATTGCCTAAATCTCTACAGCCAGTGTGCAATAATAATGATTAAACCTTATCACCTTGTAGATGTATTTTTAAGAAAATATTTTTGAAAAACATTGAGGTAGGTTACTAAATTATAAAATAAAATATCATTTATAACTTGTATGAAGTTTTAATTTACAGGAACTGAGAAAAAATGTTTAAATCAAATATAAAATAGCAAAAAAAATAAAACCATGCATTAAATATGAAAATAATATAATGTAATTACCTAATTGTTACATTTTTTAGCTTTGTGCTATGAGAGTTGTTTTACAATAAGCTAAAAAAATACAAATATCTACAAATGTACAACACTATATTTTATAATATAACATGGATGTTTTTAAGGAGACCTTATATTTTATTTTTTTGAGGATAAGAGTGAGTAGTGTATAGACAGTTAGAATTGTTGAGATAGCTTTTTGTGCTTATTTAAATGACTTTAACGAAGTCTTTAAGAGCTATTTTAAAAAAGGTTGGGCAAGTTACTGATAATTTAGTTAAAATTAAATAAATAATTTAGTTTAATCTAGTTAAAGTTAGAATATTTAAAAAAAAGAACTATTAATTAGGTTTTATGTTAATTATGTTACTAGAATTTACTAGTAGTTACTAAGAAATACAGTGTACCAGAAAGACCTGACAAATAAAATAACTTTTGTTCTAATTAATATTTTTTTTAAATCATGTGATATTTTTAACTCTGTTACCTAATTTTACAATAAGTACCTAAAATAAAATTGTCATACACAAAGTATGTATACACGTGGAAACCAAAGTAAAATTCAAATTTTGTAAAAACTAATAAACAATTTTCTGAAAAATAATATTATAAATACCTAGGTATAATACTAATCTCCAAACAAATTAAAAAATGTAATTATTAAATACCCATTACAAAATATTAGGTAATTAAAGTAAGTATCAGTATGGCATAGTGTATAGCATAAATATATATATATTTGTAAATTTTACTCGATCAACTAAAAATATAACTTAATTGATTTAAGAAGTGAGTAATTTATAATTTTATTCGTAAAAATTAATTTTAATAATAGATTTTATAAATTCCAAAATTTTACCTCTCATTGTTCAAAAATAAAAACTTAACAATAAACAATTGTGCTAGACTATTGTATAATATTTTTAAATCATAAATTATATTAAATTTAGATACTATTTACAATAACTAGTAAAAATACTTTAGAAATAACAGGAAATTTTAAACGTCAAAAGACAAAATTGGTGGTTAATCGTAAAATAACGGAATATTCCCACTACTTTTCACACAAAATTTGAAAAGTTCTTTTAATATAAGGCCACAAGTTAGTATCAAATTTCATATTTTTGATATTTTTTGGAAAACTTTGGCTTTGTAAATACAAGTGCAAAATATGCAAAAATGAAAGCGAAGGTTCTTTGAAATTTGAAGGTATGAAAGAAAAAATCAGTTGTATGCACTTAAATCACATATTTTTTTATTTTAATACCTTATTTCAGTAATTTATATAGAAAAGATTAATTCAATCCTTAGATTTTTCAAAGAAAACTTATCTTGTAAATATGTAAGCTATAAAATCAAATACCTTTAGTCAGTGTCAGTCTAGCTCATGATCAGCCCCTAGTACATAATTTTTCAAAGGTATAAGTTCTAAAGTTGAAAAGATGAAAGCCTCTGCCTACCCTTTGTTTTTGAACAGGAGATATTATAGTATGTGGGCGTACCTACAATATGTTTGTCCATCGCACGGGATATGATGTAAACCTTGTAGAGCACAACATTGACATGTCTACTGCTAAATTCTCGAAATCGCCAAAGCTCTAGACTGGAGTCATATCAAACACTTATCGCTCGATCCTAAAAGTTGGCCATAGAGTGCCACCAAAGCGTGGATGTCTGGGGGCGCATGGCCAGTGAACCTGGTTTGCGAGAGTTCCAGGACGTTTCTGGGCCGACCTAGTCCGGGACTCGTAAAGCGGATGCGCAGGCGAGTATACTTACTAGGCTGGTATGGGGGCCATATTGACGACAGGAACTGCTTGGCTGGCGGCTTCGTTCTCCTGCTTGACGACTACGTACGAGGAAGATGTAGAGGACGACGAAGACATAACGCACCACCACCCGGCGGCCTTTGGAGCGGCGCAGTGAGAACGCGGATGGCGCGAACAAGCTTAGGGGTGAAGGACGAAATGGCTGATGAACGTTTCCGACCAGACGGGTATTATTGTTAGGTATAGAATAATAGTAACACCACAAAAATGTCGACGGGACGACGCACGTTATCAAGCTGCTCGCTTGGCATCAAAGTGATAACGAATGTTTGGCGGCGTTCGCGAACGGGCGGGAAAAATCGTGTAAAAGCCCCGGGAGGAGAAAAAAAATCCCCCCGACAGAAAAAAAACGGAGAAAACCAATTTTCGAAACCCCTTTCGGCGTGGTCGATTTTCACGGTGGTGCGAAAATTTCCCCCCCTTAGACAAAGAGCCGAGTAAAACTAGAAAATCGCCCGCGCTTCTACAGCTCACTTTCACCTTTATTATAACTATAAAAGACTATAATAGTATTATCCGTCTACCCATATCGTAATTAGTGTCATTTTTGCAGACTTGAAGTACCTTTTTGATATTTCAAGTAATATTTTATCGTGTTTTGGGCGATCACGTTCTAGTACTCATTAACCGTGATTATCCTTAATGGTCCAGAAAAACTCGAAAGTTGCTGCAGGTCCAAATCCAAACTTCCACTCTTCGTTTCGTTTTGGCCGACCATTCAGATATAGAACTTTGACTTTGAATATCAAAATGCGATACAAACGAATCATTAAATACTGATACTTTTGCATTTATAATAACCACGAATAATATGTATATTATATGATATATCCCTGGTGAAGAATATCGTTTCTTTCGATCTTTGGCAGGAATGTAAAACATTTAATAAGCCACAGGTACTGGAAGTCCGGAAGGTGTATTTCTCTCAATCACTTGAATGCCAAACAGCCATATGCGGGATGCTTAAATATTGGTGTTTCTTTCCAGAAGTACCTACCGTTTTCATGTCACAAAACATGGAAACCTCGAATTGTTTCATCGTTGGTTTCAAAATTGAACTAATTCAAATTGTACGATTTAATGATGTTTGAATTGAAAGTTCAAGCGAAAGAAAAATTAAAAAAAAAAAAAATCATGGTAAAATTTTAATTTCCATAATCCACTGAGATTTCAGAAAAGCGCGGTAAAAATCCACGAGCCCGCATAAACAATTTACCTGCTGAAGTATGAATCGATTCGATGAATATCAAGTTTTTGAGGTTAAATCCTTATCACACAATGTTATCATTATTAACGTTATCTAGTATCATCATAGATAATATATATTATCTATGAGTATCATCCACACATTATCTACCGCACAATTTATTTTCAAACAGTTTTGTATATTACAATATTATCGTTTTTGCTTTTTTGTGATTTAATATTATTGAAATTTAATGTTTAGTCACTCCATCAATTCTGTCGAAAATGCATGCCACGCTTTAACGTTCATGTTCTACATTTCTATGAATTGTCCATACCTATGCCATAATTGATATCAATCGTATCACGGCCACTGTAAGATGTTCTCGAAAAAAGTGAAATTGTGTTGCAGGTTTTGTTTTACAGACCTTTGGCTCGAGCATACGTTCATTAAGTGCGCGACCACTGCCTGTATCGAGTTAGGCGTTAGTCTTTGCCTTCAATGTTTTGCAGCTGGTACCGGAGATAATGTTCATAAGAACACAGATCCGTATCAAGTTCTGTGTAACGCCATTCACATTGGCGACCACTTGTGGGCAGCTCATGAAGAAATCACATTACTCGACACATACATGGATACCATGTCATGGGACAAAGTTGCTAGGAAACTAGGTAGATCACCAAAAGAATGTGAATGTCATTACTTTGATAATTATGTACTTTATCCAAAAATCAAAGGTCTAGAATGTGTGAACAAAAATGCATTTAGATTTGATAGATTTGATAACATGAATAAAAATATGACAAACACTATTGGTGATACATTGGATTTAGAAGGTATTTATTTATTTTTAAACCAGTAAGTATTATTATTTGACACATGCAAATTGAACCTTAATTTATAGTTTTTGTCCTTTCACTACTTTTTATATTAAATCCAAGTAATAATTTTGTCATCATTGATGGGTATAAAACCGTTTAAATTTTTATTTTATAGAATCCCACCATCAATATGAATTAGCTATTCGTTTAGCTGGCTATCAACCAGCACGGGGATCTTTTGAAGAAGAATATGATAACCAAGCTGAATGCATTTTACAATTATTAGATGAACCAACATGGATTGATCAAGAATCAAAATCCATTTTAGAATCAAATGTATCTTACAAAAGGCTGAATACAACCATTTTTGACATTTTTAAGGAGAGGCTGCAGGAACGATATAGAAGAAGACAAATTGTTAAAGACTATGGACTTGTTGCGTTTAATAAACACCAGTTATGGATTAAGTCTATGGAGGTATCGACAATAATTTCTCATTTTTGTTGAAGTTTTTTCTATGAAATCTTACTTAATTTCAGATGATATTGGGTCCTGAAATGATGCAAAGATTAATTCGTTATTTACACCTAATAAAACCACTGGCTTTTGATTTACTTATTACCAATCTTAAACAAGAACATGAATTGTTAGCTAAAATTCATAAGCTTATTGTTTTTCGTAAAAACGGTTTAACCAAAATGGCTCAAATAAATATTTATAAAGAATTAAGGGCCAAAAGAGAAGAATATTTAAAAATAAGGCCATTGGGATCATCTACATCAAGAATTATTGAAAACTCAAAGCCTCGTATGAATGTTTGTAATCTACCAGGTTTCCAAAAACTTGATGATGATGAAAGGGAACTTTGTGCACTGATTAAAATGTTACCTGAATCATATTTGAAATTTAAAGAATTACTTATAAACGAGTGTGAAAAATCAAAAGGTATAATTTTAAAAACTGCTAGAAGTTTGGTAAAAATTGATGTTAACAAAACAAGAAAAATTTATAACTTACTGATGGGTAAAAAAATTATATGGCAACATTCCCAAGACTGATTTTATTATTTTTAAATTAAAAGATATTTGTGAATTGTGGTTCATATTTTATGTATTATTGTTGTGTTTAATTGTTTGAGATAAACTAAGTATTTGTTTCAATAAATGTTATAATTAAAATGTACATTAAGTTAGTTAATTTTGTAATTAACTCAAATTATTTTCTTTTATGCAAAATGTGTACATATACATTTAATTATTAAATATAGTGAAATTATAAAACTTAAAATATTATGTTGTTGAATTTTAAATTATAACAGATACAATTTTTTTTTTATTTACGAACCCTTTAATACATGAATATAATAATAACAATAATAATAATTTGCTTAATGGAAACGGGGCTCAATTTTACAGTGAGAATGAATGGTCAGTGTTGGCAATGCGCATAAGACGAATGATCGGTGAGTTAAGATAGTAGTTTGAGGAAGAGAAAACTATATGAAATGGAACAGATGATCGTGTGCAGCCGGAGGACACACGGGATAGTGATTCTGGACTGTCAATTTTAGACTACTAAGTATTAACACTAAATGTACACATTGTTAATTGCTTTTTAAATTTTACTTTGTTAGGGGAAATCAAACCATTTGATGACCTTATTTTATTATATTAATACCTATCTTAACAAACATTCAAACTTTAAAATCGAGTATGTGTATCATTGTATTTTCATTATTTTATTATAGACTATAGTAACAATAATTGAAAATAATTTACATAAATATTAATATTATTAACTAATAAGTTCACTTTTTGAACATTTACTAATTACTAATTTGATGCCACAGACTTCCAAAATAGTTATATAGAGCCTCTGTTATAAATATTTAAAAATAACATTTTTTCTTACTTTTCCGATTTATATTTTTAGAAATATATTATTTTTGAAGTATTTACTGACCTGGATACACATTTTATTGAAGCTAGAATAAATGGATTCTTATTAATCAAATAAGATTTAGGTATATAGTAATAACAAGACACTGCATTATCATCTTTATAAAATAAATCTTTTTCTTCTTTTAATAACACCATTTATTATACATTTTTTTTTTATTACATACAAGTACAGTTTAACAATCAATATTTAATAATCATCAGAGGTAATAATTACAACATTTCAAGAGAAAAAAATTTTTTCCAGAACAATTACTAAAATAGGTAATGTATGATATACATACATATAAAATCAACTAATTGTATTTTATTTTATAAGGTAATCGTAAAGACTAACAGCTTATATCCTAGTCAGATAATTACAAGAGTTAATAACATAATTATTTAGACATAAATACTTGGTTCTTAGATAATTTTGAACGTGTTTTATATTATTAACTATCAAAATTATACACTGATTCGCCGATTTGGTCTAATATATATGTATTATATATCAGTTCCCGATTATATAAAATATTATATACGCAAACACCGGTAATAAATAAATAAATATTCAATTATATTTTTATCATTTAAATTCAGTTCTGTGGTTGTTCGCTTGGATTGTTGCCAAACACTTTAAGTTCATTTCTCAATACTTTGCCGGATGGATTGCGTGGAATCATGTCCAAGAACTTAACACCTCCAGCCAATTTTTTGTATGCTACTACATTCTTTTCAACATGGCTTAATATAGTTTTTTCATCTATGTCCATACCTGGTCGCTTAACAACAAAAGCTCTTGGTATTTCTCCAGACAGCACATCTGGTATACCAACTACAGCCACATCAGCGACACCCTTCAATTCGGAAATCAAATTTTCTAATTCAGTTGGTGAGACCTTTAAAAAAAGAATATGAAATATTAGTATATTACATTTTAATTATAATTATATAAGATGTATGTATACTAGGTATATAAAGGTATTCAAATAGGTAGTTATTTATGAATTACATAAAGTTATATAACACTTTCCTAGGTACTTAATATTACAAAATAAGTACCTATTGTTTTAGTGTTTTATAAAACTACCTATAGTTTTACTATAAAGAATGGGTTTTGGTTGAGGGATATGTATGATAAACAAAGCGTTAGAAATTATTAAAATCCCATTTTTTGAGGTTTTTTGTAATTTGTCGTTTGTTTTTCCCGTGGGATTAAATAACTATTGAGAAAATCGAAAAAATGACCTCTCTATAGTACCATCTTGATCCAATTTTCTAAAAGATAAGATACTATATGTTGAAATCTAAGAACTCCTGGTAAAACATTTTTATGCAGAATAAAACAATAAATAAATAAACACAATATTGTAAAACCACTAGAGCCTCGCTTAGCAAAGAATCTAAAATGAACTAATATTATCATTACCTATGTTATTCTTATAATAAATTTAATTCAATGCAATTTTACAATAAACTATGAAGCTAAACAATGTTTATTAATTGTATTCATATATTATATTTCGAATATTTTGATAGAATGAAAAAAAAAAACTAATATTATCATTGTTATTTTTATAATAAATTTAATTCAATGCAATTTTACAATATAATTTATTATAAAAATAACAATGATAATATTAGTTATTTTTTCTTCATTCTATCAATATTATGTACCTAACAATTATTATTTATTATTATTATTATTGTTTTAAAATATTCGTAATATGATAATAAAATTAATAATCATTGGTTTTTAAAAAAATATTACAAATTGTAAAAAAAAAATACTTTAATTATATAACTAGACAATAGGTAATAGTAAAATTATAATTTATAATGAAAATAAAAAATAATATTAGTTTGTTAATAAAAATGGTGGATTGCCCAGTATTCTACATTGCCCGTAACACATATATCTATTTTAATATTATGTATTATGTATACGAGTATACCTTATAATTTATAAATTATATAACCAACCTAAGTCCTACAGTAGGTATATATCTATTGACTATTACCTACACATAATATATCAATAGGTATATGATATATAATTAAGTTTATTTTTAATTAATTGGTCTTGAGATTAAATTGATCTCTTAAATAATAGATCATAATTCACATTCGAAAAGTCAGTTAATTCTTTAAAGTTTATAGCCTATAGGTCTATATAATTTGAATTGTTTACATAGGACAGTGGCGTGATGTGGGCACGAGGGAGTATTGAATACCTGGTTTATAAATTGTTGGAGGCGGAAGAAGCCCAAATATGTGTTGGTATTATTATTATTATTTTTTTTTATATAAAATACGTCAATACTATTCATGGCATAATTTGATTTAGATAATATAACTATTATTATTTTATCTCTTTAATATGTCTTCGTCAATGAACATAAATATTAAATTCAAGTATATTTTGCAAAATCTTGGAGTTAAAATAGATCGTTAAACATAAAAGTGTAAATAATGTCCTACAGTCATATTATTATGAATATGATGTAGCCATGTAAAACAAAATTGTTTTAATAAAAATAAAAATTCAAGCCGTTGGTCGAGATTTATCACCCTGCGCTTAGTCAAAATAGTCAAATACTTTAAAAAAAAAATAATAAATAATATTTTAATATGAACTTTAAAGTAGACTGTGAAGTGAGCACTCAGCCAATCCGGTCTCCGACTCCGCAGTTATTGGAGCTTATGGCCTACCGTCATAGCTATTTTTATTACATATTCGTTTGTTCCTTTATCGAGAAACCGTGTTTCGCCGGCGTTGTGTTGACACTCGGCACTGTTCCATGACGCGGGCGCGTGCGCTCTAAGCCAGTGTGGTAGTTGTGCAGTTTCCTTATCTGTTTTCGTTTCGACTTCCGAGCATTTCTACAGTAGCGTTCAACGGCGGCTGACTTGTTGTTTACGGTTTTTTATAGTATTACAACATTTACAACCGCAATAATAATAATAATAATATTATACATTTATACGTTTTTATTATTATTATTATTGCATACCGTTCGCGTTGTGTTTTTCTCGTGTGACCCGTCAACGAACATTCGGACCTTGGTGAAGCGGAAGGAAATCGCAGGACGACGGACACGCACAGGTTGGTACCGTACACTTAATGTTACTACCATCCAGCGTCCGCAATGATCGAAAACGCGGAACTGGTCATGCAAATGCTGGAGATGTACCAGATGTACAAGCAACAGGTTCCCGTGGAACTGGAAGAGTATCTAAGGTATGTAGCAAAGACCGGAAACACACTGTTCCAGTGGACGCTGGTCAAGCCGTTCATCCGTGAGAAGATAATGAACGTTATTGCCGAATTTTCGGAACAGTCTGCGTTGTCTGACATACCGCCATACCCAAATGTCGACCCGTTCAACTACGAGGCCATGAAGACCATGTTGTTGGAACGTTTCGACACTTTCAATGGGCCCCCGTTCACCATACAAAGGCTTTGCGAGTTGTTGTCTTGCCCAAGAAAAGAATACAACCGTGTGGACAAATTCATGCGTGCCGTAGAAAAAAACATATTGGTTGTCAGTACTTGCGAGTTGAGACCCAAGCGAGAAGAGCCCATTGTCAATGGCGTCCCAGACCGGTGGGAAAATGGGAAAGAGTCCGATATCAGTATGGAATTGGTAGATAAAAATAATGTTATTACAGACGCAAGTGTCCTAAATGGTAATGATACAGTCGAAAGTCTTCTGAACGAACTAGAATCAATGAAAACTCCTGAAACAAAACTGGATGAATCAAAGACAGAACAAAAAGATCATCTTGTCGCACAAGTTACAGACAAAGTTGAATCTAATATTACTCCGGAAGAACCCAAACAAGATACTCCAGTATTAATCACCCAAGATACACCACTTCAGACACAAATTACAGACTCTACTACAGAAGTTGTGGAACCAGTCGATATTGATGTCGAACCAGTTGATGTTGATGTCCCACCAAATGTTTCCGCTGAACATGAATCTATAGTTGACCAACCAAAAGAGTTAAACTCTGAAGTCAGTGAAATTCAACCTGTTGAAGTTAAAGAACAAATTGTAAGTGATCCTGTTGATGAGCTTAAAGATTTATCCCAAGATATAGAGCTTGAAATTGTCAAACCAAAAACTGAAGAGCCAATTGTAGAAAGTAAGGAATTGGATCATTTGGAATTAACACCGACAGATGCTGATCGAGTAGAAGGCTCAATTATTCATCAAGCTCCTGATTCTGATAACAAAGTAGAATTAGATATAGACGTATCACAAACTGCAGTTGTGTTGGAAAAATCAGACGAAAATCTTGAAAGTATGGATGTACAAGTTGAAGATGTATCCAAAAGTATGGAATCTGAAGTAATCAGTGATAATGTACAAGAAGAATGTACAAATCCTACAGAAATTGAAAATGACAAACAAGTTGGTGAATCTACTATTGATGTACCTACTGTAGACCCAGTTTCTATAGATATGGAGGTAGAACTAGAGAAGACAGAAAATGACATTATCCCTGACGTTATACCACAAGAAAGTGTTAAAGAAAATGAAGACATCCAGACAACGGAACCTAATACAACTGTTGAAGAACCTCAAGTACAGGATGAAAATAAATTGACTGAAAGTGAATAGTCTTAGTAAATATTAGCCCTAAATGAATATTACATACATTGACTGGTTAGGTTAATAATTATGAAATGTTATCAATTAGGTAAAATTTAATGTTTATATGTACCTACGTGATAAATTCAGAATAAGTTATTTCATTTACTGTACAAAATTATTTGCATATATTGCTATTTTGATTAAATCAATAATCAATTTTTTTTTCATATATAATTTTAAATGAATAAAAGTGTAGTATATTTTGAATAAAGCATTTTTATTTTTATTAAAACATTATAAATAATCCATGTTTTAACTATTTGTTGCTTAATACATTATTTGTTCATGATGTATAATTTTTTCTCGTCTTATACAGGCACATTTATTTTATGTTATATTAATAAAAAATACAATTACATCAGAAAAAATACTCACTTTAAGTAATACATATTTGTTAACTAAATAAAGAGTATCAACATCTATATATTTTCATTCCTATTTTAATGTATTGTTGTGTGTCAAATACACTTTATTTTTAAATGTAATTACTAATGGTTTATTTTTTAATGAAAAAATTTCATTCGTATCTCTAAATTATCTAGTTAGTTTTATATTTTATACTCTGTACTATCTTGTTTAAATGACTGAATAACTTTTGCTTGAATATTTTATTAACCGTAAAAAATTTTCCATTTGAAATACAATAAATTATATTTGTACATTATCAATATTATCATCCCCTTTATGAACAGTTATCTAATATCGTTATGCAATTTGTTTGAATATAATATAACTTATAAAAGAAAAACTATTAAAGCGTTTTCATTATTTGTCTTTAGAGGTTAGGCTTTCTTTTTCAAATGTACAAGAAAATCAAATCAAATGTCAGTAAATATTATTAGTTATTACTTATTACTACTAATAATTTTACTTGGTCATATTATATTTATAAATATTTATTTGTGTAAATGTATGTATAAAAAAGCACAGAACCTTCACAAAAATTGAATGTAATTAAGTAATTAGCGTACCACAAACAAGCTTATTGGTTAGAAGTTATGTATATCTTATCAATAATCAAAATAATTTCTATTATTCTTCTAGTCAATAAATTGGTAATTTACATAATATATAAAATATAATTCTTTTAAATATAAAACTGAAATTTTCATATCATAACATCTTAATTAAACGTTACAATATATTTTTAATTTTATTACATAGGTAAATGTGTTCTTTTATTTTTCTCTTATCGTTAATTACTATTACAATAACATATTGAATATGCCTTGACCTTTTTATTTTTCTCCTCAAATAACTATGAAACATCAATAATTATTTATGCAGTATGTGGCCAAAAAAATTTCTTTTAAGGTTAATTGTCAGTTGTATTTACTTTATAGGGCTATAAAACATTTGAATGAAATCGAAAATATTTTTTCATATTATTATTTGGGTAGGTACAGCTTCTCTACTATTATAGCCACTCATTCTTATAATCGAACAACAACAAAATCATATCCGTAGGTACAATATTTAAATAATAAAAAAAGAAGTTTAATGAGAGGTATAGCCATATAGGTATTATTTTTAATCAACTATAATCAAGATAAGATTTTGTGTTATAAACTGAAACAGTTGTAGGTACCTAAGTATACTTAATAGTAAATTGTAACTAATTCATCATTATAAGAAATAGTATTCTCATAGGTACACTAAATAAATAGGTACCTACTCATTATCTTAATTTGTCTTTAGTATATAATTAATATGATTTTAATTATAGTTTGTAAGCAATAAGTAGAATAGGTACCCAAATACAGTACCTATTATAAATTCAATTATTATCAGCAGTAGCCAGTAGCAGTTCATGAGTTGTAACTTATAAGATATAAATATTTATTATAATACAATATGTAAATATTTATTCCAACAACATCATAATAAATTACATGAGAAATCTGAAATGATCAGATTTAAAAAAAAAGTCTCCCTGCTGTACAATAGGTTACAAGTGGGTCACTGTGTAATGGAGGGTATTAAATTTAAATTCAATGATATAATATTGTATAAGAAAAACGATTCTGAGCAAAAACGGTCAGTCAGCCTATGATATTACTAAGATACTAAGTATATTTGATATTTTGATGATATTATTGTGAATAAAGTAATTTATATATTTACCTACTTACGTGGACCCTTGTTTTAAATTTTCAATCCTAAGGTATAAAAGTTGAACATTTTATAAATTTTGAACTACAAAATAATTATTTAATTTTAAATTTGATAAATTTTGTCAAAATCCGATTTTTAAATGCTTATAAAAAAAAATTGTGCCTATGTATTTTTAATATTTTTGAACTGCTATTGTAACAATATATCAGGAGCCTTGTATTAAATTTTTACACTTTTTGGCCCAACAGATAAAACTTTATGGATATTCATAGACAAAAAAAATAAAAAAATTTAAATATGAAATTGTCAGCTCAAAACAATTCAAAATATTTTGAAAATGTTATCAAGTATAAGAATTGATAAAATAAACATTCAGTGAAATTCTATCTACAGTTATTCGTTCTTGAATTACAACATAATAAGAAAATCGCTACATGAGAAATCGAGTGAATATCGAATATTGTAAAAATATGAATTTCAAACGCACATAAAAATTTAATTTGATTTGCTTGAAGATATTTTTTTTTTTTAAAGATAGACAAACTTGTGAATAATCTTGTATTACATTTTCAAATCTTAGATTTAAAAGAAAACATTTTTATGAATTTCTAACTCAAAAGAGTTAGCAAATTTTCCTAATTTTTACGTATTTTGTCAATATTTGAACTTAAAATTCTTATAAAAAAAAATTGGTGACAATGGATTTTTAATTTTTTTCATATACCTTTGAAACAATATACTATTAGCCTTCTATTAAATTGTCAAGCTTTTTTATCCAACAAATAACATTTTATTGATATTTGTAGAAAAATAAACTAAAAAAAATGGAAACTATAAACGTAAATAGCTCAAAATAAGTCAAAATGTTATGGTGTATAGAAAATGCTAATATAAACATTCAGTCAAAATTTCATGTATCTACTGTCATTTTTTTAAGAGTTGCACCAAAAACCAAAATCGATTTTTTCGGAAACAGGTTTTGTTTAGAAATTGTTGTTTTTCCTTAATGATTCTTTTGTTTTTCACGGCGCTTTTGAAAACCACTGGAAAAATTTTACTTTTGACACCCCAAAGTACCAACTAGATTCACTTTCCTATTAGAAAAGAAACTGATGAAGAAAACCCAAGCACTTTTACTGTCCTAAAAGGTGATGACAGACACAAACAAAAATTAAAAATTAAAAAAAAAACAAAAATCATTGTAAAATCAATACATTCATCGTTCCACTAAGAATCTACAAGACTAATAAAATTGGAAACTGGAAATGTTCCTAAACAAATCAAATTGTTTTGAAAATGTTATCTTGTATAGAAAATGCAAATATAAACTACCAGTGAAGATGTCATGTATTTGTATACGTTCATTTGTTTTAGAGTTCAACCAAAAACCAAAATCGATTTTGTGGAAAACCGATTTTGCGTAAAAATTCCCCTTTTTCCTTAATTTTTATGTGGTTTTTCCTGTCGCTTATGAAAAATATTAGGAAATTTAAAAATTGACCTCCCGAATGCACCAACTAGATTCACTTTCCCATCGAACAAGATATTGTTGAAGAAAATCGAAGCAGTTTTACTGCCCTAAACCGCGGTGACAGACACAAAAATGAAAAATTTAAAAATTAAAAAAAAAAAAAACACACATTATGGTAAAATCAATACATTCATCGATCACTCAGAATCTACAACTAATGTAGGTATTATGCGATTTAACGTTTATACAACTATACACTAAGGGCCGTTTTTACAATGTCTGGTTAAGTCATTAAGTGTTGGTTAGGTAGGTAGGTAGTAGGTACCTAGTACCTACTAGGTAGCCATTAAAGAGTTCTTAAAAATATATAATTACTATTAATAACCTTGTGCTTAAATTGTTATAACTACCGTCTACCAAGTAAAGTAATGTAACTACTAAATGAAATGTCAAATCAACCTATACATTTCATACGGCCTTTGTACCTACCTAAATCAGACAACCCCCTAAATATTTCATAATAAATTATGTTATAACTTAATACGTGTTAAGTTTGTATTTCTTGATCCTCAGATTTTCAACTATATTTACGTCTATGGTCAAGTACGAAAAAGTGTAGGTATTATTACAAAGTTGAAGAATAAAGGAGAGTCCAGAACTCCAGAAGGAGCAAATTTTGCCATGTCAGGTCACAAATTCGTTTTCTGCAGATTTCTTGATGCCGCGCTGCAAAATTTCAAATCGGCCTAGTAAAGTCATAAATCCTACATAAAAGGAAAGCCGTTCTAGCTGCTATATACCTACCTACCACGCCTGTGTGGACGTATTTTCAGAAAAGCCGACTGGCATCAGTACTTATTTTTATTAATTTGTAATTTTTAAATCATTGTAATCGAATTATAACTTATAAGTCGTCTGGACACGCCGAGCGGCACGGGGCCGACAAAGGCCTCAAGCGAAAATCCAGCTACGTCTGGACGCGCCTTAAATAACGTAGCTTGTCCGTCTTAAATCTATTGTAACTGTTTCCATTATTTAACAGAATAAAAAACACAATACAAGTAGGAAACAACTACACTTTTACTAGCATAATAGGACAACTGGTACAATTCTTAAAAATGAACTTGAAAATTGGAATGATTGTATTTTATGCACGAGGGACGAGGGTAGATAGGTACTTTGGAAACCTGCAACTCAGTACCCACTACTAAATTACATAATTATATAAGTCTGTATAGGAAGTAAAGTATAATAGATAGTTAAAGAAAAAGTGATCTATGTAGGTATTAAGCTTCAGAGGAGTGTGTGTAATTGGTTTGTTACAAATATTTTGAAAAAAAAAAATAATTAAGTAGGTAGGTATCAATAGGTAATTTATTCTTCTAATAAGTCTGTCTGAATATTTCCACTATTTTTAGAATGCTGTAAGACCAACTTATTAAAATCAAGCTTTAGTGAGTTTAGGTACATATTAAAATCAAAAACGTGATGATAAACTCACAAAAGAAAAACACATTGTAAACTCAATACCTACGAATTTAAAATATTAGTATCCAAATCTGAATGAGGGTGTAGACTGTAGTTCCTAAAATTATTATCTTTCATCTATTGCCCTTTGAAAATATTTAGGTGGAAATTATTTTAAAAAATCAACTTAAAGGCTGTTTATTGAACAAATAAATTGAAACTATAATATATTAATATGTATCTACCAACATTTAAATGCAGCGTAAGTATGTAGGTATACTTATAAGTATGTTTGAAAACTTAAATTTATTGATTACCTATCTAAACAATTAATATTACTCCTTAGGTGTGTATAATATCCACTTACTTGATTCCCTTTGACTTTTATCAATTCCTTTGTCCTGTCTACAATATAGAAATATTCGTCCTCGTCATAATAAGCAACGTCACCAGTATGTAACCAACCATCTTCGTCCACAGTTTCTTTTGTTGCTTTTTCGTTATTAAGATATCCAGCCATCACCTAAAACAAAATGAATTTAAAAATCGGTCAGTTTCAATACTTGAACTCATGAATAGTTAAATTAAATTTACTTGGGGTCCTCTAATCAATAGTTCTCCAGATTTATGTGGTCCCAAGTCGTTTCCATCGGTTAAACTGACCACCCTAGCTTGAGTACTTAGTACAAGTTGTCCTGTGCTACCAGTTTTATTTTCAGGCAATGTAACTCTTGTGTATAAAGATACGGGAGCTGACTCGGTCATTCCATAACCTGAAAATGTTTAATTGTAAATAGAATACGGAGGCCCAGTGCCACGGACACAGTCTGGACCACTTAACTACCCGGCGATCGCAAGGGGCCACGAGATTTATTTTTCTACAAGGGGGCCCAACGCTAAAAGACAAAAATTGAAAATATTTCAGTGGCACGCAGTGATTCAATTATTTTGTTTGATATTACTTATTAGTTTTTATTATTAGTTACATTTTTATTTGCATTTGTCTTCTTTTTGTCATAGGTATTTTTCTTGTTTTGAGTCAAACTCTTTTGGGGTACCTAACGATTTTGTTTATTAAAAATAAATATTCAGAGGGAAGTAGGAACTAAAACATAAAATATTGTTTTTGTGCTTTTTTAAGATAAGCCATCAAGTCTCTAGCTCTAGATGACTAGATATGATATTTGACCTGGATAATTAAGTTAACCATTCACAATTTATAAAACATATAATATTATAATGGTCATAATCTGTTTTGCATTTATTTTATTTGTAGGCCCATTGAAGATTATTGTGCCGGACCCAGGCTGCAGTTGTGGTTTTATGGAGGGTATCGCCCTCCATCTTTGTGACTTGGTTACTTCTTTTTAATATGTTTATATTAATTATTTAATACATTATAAAATAATAATTTATATAAATTAACTGTGAATATCATTTTTATAATAATATTTACTGTTAAAATATAGATAACAAGAATAAAACGTAAGTTATTTGTTGTACCATTGTTTTCAAATCGCTCACATCCAACTTTTTTTTAATCAAAACCACTAAGTACTCGGCGAGAGCTAAATCTTGAGCCACAATGACACATGCCCACATCGACACTTCATACTATATTATTATGTAGTGGATATTACTTCTACAATATATAGGTTCTTATTGTCTTTATATAAATGTATAGTATATTTTATGAATATAGGTAAGTAATAAGAATAAAACTAACCTTGTCTAATTCTAATGTCTTTTTGAGCTTTAAGTAAAAAATTATCGATAAGACCTTTCGATGCTGGTGCAGCACCACATGTAATTTCTTTGATTGAGCTTAAATGTTCTGCTTTTACTGATGGATGCGAGGCTAGGAACAACAGTAATGAAGGCACCACAAACAGAAAAGTTGGCTAAACAATAATTATTTTCATGATTACACAAAATATTATATTATTTATTTTATTTTATTTTATTAATTTCTTTTTACATAATACTATGTAAATGTACGTACTTTATATTTAAGCACACATTCAATGTATGATTCAGGAGTAAATTTTGGTATGGTAATCATATGAAGACCATGCGACAATACTCCATTTAATATTCCATTAAAGCCATAAATATGGAAGAATGGTAGAACACTAAGAACTCTTTCTTGGTAGTCATCTATAAAATAAAATAACCAATGAATGTTAACCACGTGGAATGTGAATGGCTGCTTATTTACGTGTTTCAAATATTATTTTGATATTAACAAATAATAATTAAACGTAGCATAATTACCAGTTGTTGGCTCATAACTGATGATGTCTTTGCTTATACATTGCTCCAAATTTATAGCACAATTTCTGTGGGTTAACATCACACCTTTTGGAAGCCCGGTTGTACCACTAGAATATGGCAATAAAGCAACTTCATGGGCAAACGATTTTGGTAGTTCACCAGGCGATTGTCCTGACACTAAAGTCTTGAAATCGTACACTCGAGCTTTTTCATTTGCAACTTCATCACCGCCAAATACTATGGTGCCCACATAACCTTTGAGGCTAGGGGATACTTCTTTAATTACAGGAAGTAATAAAGATATCGTCATGCAGAGTTTTACACCAGCGTTTTCGAACTGTCGTTTTACCTCCACTAAAACAGAACAATGAATGATGATTTGACATTGGCTAAAAATTAATATAATATGTACGAATCTTACACGATTCTTAATTCAAATATCTTACTGGCAGTGTAAAGAGGATTAACAAAAGTGACGACCAGTCCCGCTTCGAGGGCTCCATGAATGGCAAAAACGTACTCTGGTAGGTTAGGCAATAATAGTCCAACCACATCACCTTTTTTCAAACCAAGTTTTGAAATAAGAGTACTAGCGAACAATTTGCAAATCATGCGACCTTCGCCATAAGTGTATGATCTTCCACTGCTACCGCATGTCTAAAAACATAGGTATGTTATTAAAATTTAATATTTCAATACGTGTGATCAATAAACCAGCTATGTACAATTATAAAATACATAATTGTATAGAATCAAAAAATGTAAGTATTAATTACAATGATTATTTAATACGCCGTAGACATCAGGTAAATAAGCGCATAAGTACCAACCAGTATATATGTTAACTCATAAAAATAAATTTTATTGCTGTACAATATTACAAAGTAATTACTAATTAGTAATACTATTACTGTTAAATACATTTATAGTTTAGTATTTACCAATAAATCTCATAATTAAATCACTGAAGAGAAACTAGGTAACAAAAATAAGTAATAAGTTTCATATTATGCAACGGCTAATCTTTTTTCCTAGATATTACACATAAGGACATTTTTAAAATGCATTATATAATATAACATTTATTATATAAGCACAACAAAAACTTGAAATTAGCCGTACTTCCAATCAGTAGCGCAGCCATAAATATTGTATGGTTGGGGAAGGGGAGGCTATATTGTTTTTGTGAAATATTTTGTTTAATATAATATTATAATATAGGCTAAAATAAACATGGTCAATGCCCTCTGCCCCACCACCCGACTACGAATCAGTTACCCCATTAGGTATCTTAAAGTAATAATATAATATGTGAAAATATACCTACACTTTCGAAAATAGTGAACTAGGTAAAATCAAATTTTTCCGCCCCTAACAATATAATATTATCAGCAGTACCTATTTGGAAAATGCCGCCCTCTTACTAAAGTGCTGCTTAAGTGCCACCCTAGGCGGGGGCATATGTCGCCTTCCCCAAGAGCCGGGATTGAGTCTTTCCTAAAACAGTATAGGTACTAAATACTTAAGTGGCTTTGTGGCTATGTGAAATGTGTAAAGATATGCTCAAAAAATAAAAAGTTTAATATATTAAAATTAAACCAAGGTTGGACAATAAGAATAAGTACTAGTTAGAAAGTTAGAACTTATTTGGTCGGTAACGTAAAAATTAACTAGGTATAGTAAAATCTAAAAATTACAAATACCTATACCTATATAGCAAAAATCTAAAAAAAATTGTGTATACCTATTTAAATTAATTTATTATGAACTCTATTTCTTAAAGTAGGTATAAAATTTGTCAAAACACTATTATTAAAATTCAATAAATATTTTAGTATAAAAAGTAAAAACTAATGAATAATGATACAATAAGTTATGATACAAAAATATAATGGTTTTTCTTAACTAAAATTTTTCAAACTCGATTGGTATTATACGACAAACTTATAATCTAACCAAGACACCAAGTTACTATTTTTCATACACTTTTTAATTACGTGACGACTACATAACTTATATATATAACTAGTTAGTTTTTTTAAAAAATAATTTTAGCTTTAACTATATCTAGTTAAAAAATCCACCATGATTTGACAAGGCTTATTGTGTGAAACATATTGTACATTTGCACCAAATGCATAGGACACTTTCAGTGGAAAATATATCAAAGTTAAGTCCTGAGCCACTTAATGACGGCTCATTAGGTATACCTATGATTTATTATCATGATAAACTATTAACATTTTATGCCCAAGTTTGTAGTTGACAACTATCTACCTAAAAGGTTTGTATTGAGGAATACTGAAATAGTGAAATGCATATTGAAATTATAACAGAGCAATGAGTATAGACGTATAGAGCTTTAAATGATAAAACATTAAGTACTTTTATTCAAGGTATATTGAAAGTATACAACACATATTAAGTAACAATAGTATTATTGTTTATCAATGCACCTTGCTTTTATTCTATAAAAAAAAAAAACTTGGACTTTTGACAGGTTTTACTTTGTACATCGCGATCGAATGATTTAGTAACCAGGAAATGATAAACAAAAATCGGCTTATTTCTCAATAAATTTTCGGGACGATGGTGTGTTAGATAATGAACCGATATAACTACCGGGTAGCGTTCAAAAGGCTATAGTATATACGAGTGTATGCAAAAGTAGATAGCCACGGACCAATAAAAAAACAGTATAACACAACAACAGCCACCACAAGGTCGAGGTTTTCTAATATTATCTAACTATGTCAATGTACGAGTACCTACATAAAATACGCCGTGGTCGCCGTTGCCTCTGTTGGTAGACTATACGTATTTGTAATAGGTATTTTGATTGAAATAATTATTTTAATTTTCTAAACCAGGAAATCGTTATTTGCAATATTGTGGACGCGTACGACAAGCAATTATTGTACGTAACCACCTATTATGTTTTATAAAAATCTGCAATTCATAATTATTTTATAAATTCGTTGAGAGTCAAGAATAATAAACCCAACGATTATGATTCAAACAACTGTAAATACATAAAACAACACCATATAATTTAAATAATCAAAAATATAATACAATTTGTACAGCGAATAAATGTATTGAGCTATATCTGATGCGTATAAATGATAAGAACAATTATGTACATTTATATTTGAATACAATTTTAACAGTTAATGAGTGGGTAATAATAAAACTGAACATTCGTCCAAATTACTCATAAAAGGAACGCGTATACAACTGAATTTATTGTACTCAATTTAAGCGTAATTTTCTAGTTCTTGGATTATAATAAAAATTGTTAATGTTATGATTGACCAGATTGAGAATATTGAATATTGATATAGGTACCTGTATAATGTAAAACATTCTAAACTATAATGCGTGCTCGTGTACTGTGCACTGTGCACTACCAAATAGCTATAACATAATATACGTGATACCTACCTATTGGCTATTTGTATCATAATAATGATACTGCAACTGCACATATTATTTGAATAATCGAATAGAAAAAATAACATATCAATATATATATATATACCTAGTCAACACCTTTTATAAACATTCCTATAACTCGTTTGTGTAAAATATAAATAATAATGTAATAAATAAACGTAATGTTTGTTAGTTTTAGTAAATTATTTTATAATATGTGCATTATGTATTTTCCGTTACCTACCTCCACTTGAATATTAAAAATGTCAACGTATTTAGTATAATTTATAACAACATTTTCCGAACATTATATACAAGTACCAACTATATTATATTACATTACGGCATATTATTATTCTTTGTACTCAAATATGTTTTGTATAATCATTTTCGTGCATTTATAAATTGTACTGCAAATTCGTGCAGAGTAGGTTTATGAAAATAATAAATACTTAATAATGTAATTATATTACGATTATTTACAAGTGCAACGAAAATTAACTAGATTAAGAAAATAACTATATAACAAGCAGTATCGTATACAACATACGCGGAAAGACGTTTATCTAAAAGTTATTATTGTCTCTATAAAAAAAATTTTAAGCGTCAACTTACTGTTCGTGCGATAAGTATACAATAATTACAGTTGATTGCACTATTGCCGGTTGTATCTTTGAAAGCTATCAAAGTTGGACTTCATACTATCACATATACATTATTTCATATGTAAACCAATTACACAATAGTTCAGTGTTGTATAGCAAATTAATCAAAATAAAATTTTAATATAAGTACCCAAAGTTCAAAATGAGTTCATAACAATAATTATGATCATTGTGTTTAGTATGGTGTATATATTATAATATATTTTATACCATTGAACCATAAATATTTATCAAAATACTTTTACCAAACGCCCATTTAGAATACAAAAATGTCTATTCATAACGAATTTTGATGGACTTTAATCACTGTCCGTTTTAAGGTACATAATTAGGTATACTGTTTTACACAAATACAATTATAAAGGAATAACACAATTAATACGTAGGTACATTAATATGATACACCTAGGCGACCTAGCTATATAATTATATAAATATCAGCGTTCACTTTCTTTAAGCGCCTTTCTATACATTTAAAAAACTTAATTACAAAATATAACTTCATGTTAACTAATTTATAATAATAATAAGTGCAGAAAAAAAAAACAGTCTGACGTTTGTACATATCTAGTATTTTATAGAACAATAATTAGAATTTGAGAATTTATTTCAGTAGACATTAAGAATCATTGGAACTGTGACCGTTGTAAATAAACAAAAACATGAAAAAAATTTAAAGTTAAATTATTAAATTTAAATTCTGCAACTAATCATAGTGTTTTTACAATTTAGTGCAATTCAACACGGAGTAATATTCTTTATAATCTACAATATAAAAAAATTACACAGAGTATTTTATTATAAGTACCCAGTATAATATTTAAAAATTGAAAACAGTTATTAAATTTATTTGTTTTACTGTCGCACAAATTATAATTAGTCATTAGTGGCATTCAATGTTTGTTTAGAACTAAGTACTTACGAGTTATGTCAGCTATACAATGTGGTTATCTCACTTTACTATCTCACCTACTCATTACTTATTTAGTACTCGATAATAAAAAGTAGACAGTATAGACGTATTGTACGCCTACTATATAGTATCAAATAAATAAATACTATTGCAGATTTGCAGCTAGTGATGTATTTTTTTTTATAACATGCACAATGCAAATATCTACATTTAAAATATTATAAAATGTGGTAAAAAAAAAAAAATATGAAATCATTGTTAATTCTTGTCAATATCTGCAATTATTTAACGATGAATATACAATTAGAATAATAATGTTCCATTATAAATAATATGTGATAAATGATAATATTGTAAATTGTGATACAATTTGGCAATTATCTAAAATAGAATCTATATTTGCTCAAAGTAAATCGTACAATTTATTATCGCACATTAGTATTATTGTACTATAATATTTAAATGTGATTATAACATACTAAATTGATAAATTAAATAATATGATTTACATATTGAACTAACAATTAATTTTAAGTGTAATTATTTTCCTCTGCGTATAAATTGAAAATACTTCGATTTGTAAAATGTTTGAGCACAGGAATTCTAGTACACCGTTTTCTATACGGAAAAACGCACAGATTAAAAATAGCTACTCTTTGACTCTAAATCAAAAAATCTTTTAGTATATTTGCGTCGGTCGTGTGTGTAGTGTGTATAATACTATAGTGACGTACATGCGCTCAGAACATATTATACTACCTAATACCTATAATATAAGTTCACTCTTGTGTAAAACATGTTTTACGCGTTAAGTATTTCTAGTACATAAAATTATATAAGCTACCGCGGTCCATGAATATGTAGGTAGTATTATAATAGTACTGATGTTTTTTTCCGTATAATAGTTACACTCCACCACGTCACGTTATGAATATAAAAAAATATCAATTGTCTACAGGTTATAGGTAGAGGTAGGTACTGGACGTTTCAATTTGATTTGAAAATTTACTTTCATTGTAGTGACCGTAGCCCGTAGTGATTCTAGGATATCTCTAGATAACTATATATTATACGTTCCTACCACCAAAACACATATTATGTATGGTAAAAATCAAGTTTATAAAAAAGAAATCTCACTGTTTTATTAATCGTGTCATAACCATAACATGGACCCATGGCAATTGATATATTATATAGGTACATAAACTTGAATGATATAAATACTACCTTCATATAGGTACATTTAATAAACATAATTTAATATAGATTATCTAGATATTATTAGGCACTGATATTTTCAGACTTTCTTAATACTTTTAACTCATATAATTTATATACGTGTACGGTGTACCGATTTATTACGTTGTTGTCTTATGGTGGGGCGAGCATGTACATACATGTTAATGCGTATTTATTAAATAGCTGAGGTGAAAATACAATCACTGATGACATGGGAATTCAGGAAGTAGATAGCCGCACGAGAAACCAGGTAGGAGCGAGTGCTGGGCAAGTGTGTAAAAGCAGATGACCACGAGTCAAGATGAAAGAGCCATATCTATTAAATTACGAACCGCTTGCGCGCAGTCCCAGTACATCAATAATATTATTATATAGGAGTGTAATCTCTAATCAGTAATCACAAATGATTAATGATAGTGAAGTATTGGCTTAGAAAATGTAAATAATAAACAAGTATGTACAATGTATACTATGTACAGAAACAATTTTGAATAAGTCTATACTATACATTATACAAGTCACAAGGTAAAATCCATATCTAACTCGGACAACACACATGCCCGTCTCGTATAGACATCATTAACATAAAGGAAACTTCGTAGGCACAAACCGAGAATTTAACGATAAAAAATAACAAGTGGCAGCCAGAGACGAGTCCTGTGCGTGAAGGGAGACGACGTTATACGTACAATAAGAGTATAATACGTAAAGTTTGTGGTGGTAAAGTTGCAGGTGGAACCGCCTATTTGTAGGTAATTAGTGTGTATAACTAATACGTACGATGACGTTAAAACAGTTTTAAATGCATGGATATACAGTAAATTACAATCATTCTTCGAGTGGATTTAAAACCGTTTCAACGTCGCCGCGGAGTAAATACGTACGTAGCGAGTACCTATATACCTATATACCTACTACATGTATACAATATATTTATTTATCGGCCCTTAATTCTATACGAATACTATGTAAAAATTTTAAATCGTCTTAATTACAAATTACGAAATTGTACAAATGACGTACTGAGTATTATAATGGGTTCTAAGTAATCTTATAAAGTTATAACATTGCTATTAGGTATGTGTCAAAAGTAGAAATTAGAAAGCAGGGATTCGTTACATTGGCGCAACATATTAACCTTCTGTGCATATTATTACCTATAGCCTATAGCCTATAGGTATATAGCCAGTATTTACTTACAATCATCGGCTTGTCTTCCCACTTGTCCACGTTCCTCCATATGTATTCGGGCAGGGTGACATCCACGGGGTTGACGGTGCCGAACGGAGATTCTAAAATTATCGGTCCGGTTGAAGACGAAGGGGTGGAACGGGAGGAAGTGGCGCCGAACATGCGTACGGCTGCAGTCCAGGACGGCGACGTGCGACAGTGGCCCGCCGAAGCTTTGGAACACTTGTGCAGAGGTCCATTGAACATGCGCCGGGCGCCGGTCATCACTCTCAGTCGGTCCATGTCGGTTTTATTTGGATACCGCGAAAATCCCGTGCACACTCGACCGTGGGCTCGTGTGTTTTTTGGAAAGTTGGTCGGTTCAGAACGATAATATATTATATTATATATTTATATTATAATATAGCTATTATATATTTAGCTGTGACGGTGATACTATTATGTCCAGTTCGGAATGGATTATATTCGTCGTCGTCGATAACTTTGGTATAAATATTTTAAATTATTATAAATATAATATAATATGCGCGACGACAACGAAGTATAATATTATTTTATGATGTCGCGGTGGACGGAGAGCCAACGTCACACTACCGGCGGAGAAACTGTACTGAATGTACTGTACTGTACGGGGCAGCGGCTGGCGAATATTATAATATTATTGTCTGCCATACGTAAACATGCAACACGTTGTTGGCCGCCGCCGCACATTCATAATATATACGACCATACGGTTTCGGTGGGCGGCAAGTTGCAGTTCTACCGCGCACTCGCCGCCCCCGACACCGTTAGCAGTCACGATGATATACAGAGCGGTCGCGCGCGCAAACAAGTACCTCTATACTAGCTATAATCTATATGGTAGGTAATCTAGAACACGTACGATAAACGAAATAATAATAGGTATGTCGTCACACGATTAAATTTCGATGTATATACAATATAATAATATTATATATTATATACCATAGGTATACGTCGGTCGTCGGTCGAAGTGTCGGACACGCGCGCTGACAATGTTTTCGATAAGTGTTTTTTGTTTTTGTCCATACTGGCATGCTATAATACTCAACAATATTATTATTTCAATATACACGACTTGTGATAATGTACATGTGACACGTACTGACGTATCCAACTCTGTTCATGTCGTATAAAAAATAACCATTTTTTTTTTAGCAATTCATAATACCCCAGTCGAAAATCCCCATATCGTAGGCACTAGGTACCTTCTCGCATTATTTTTGTATTTAAATCCATAGCACGTACACATATATATTATATTATATAGGTACTAATGGCACACATTTTTTTTGGTGGGAGTTCAAATCCACCACTCTAAAAAACGTGGGGCTACACATATACAAATTATTATTATTATTTACATAAAATAAATTATTTAAATTTTAAACAAACGAAATAGCTGACAAAACACGCATAGCTGGGTATCTGTGGAAAATATTACATTATAGGGTCAAACTACTCTCTTACCACATTTTTAGCAGAGAAAACAACGATATTCTTATCGTCTGCCGTGTTTAACACATATTATTATAAACGTATCCACCACAAAAACAGCATTTTAATTAATTTTTTTTTTCAATAGTTTTGATTGGGTTTAATTTCAAAATTATAGAAAATAAATGATATTTACTATTAGAACTTACTTGACGAAGACTTCATTTGAGGGGACTTAGTATAGTTTTGGGAATCTATGTCCTCCCTAGGCTCAAGCCCCCTATATTTCCTTTAATGATTATTTACTAGCAAAATATTATAATTAATATTTTATACAATCGATTTACAGAGAGTACAAAAATCAAAGTACCTATATACTTGTTTTAATGCATATTAATTGTATTTTTGAGATCCCCAAAATACTGCCCTTCGTCACGACAACTGTATTAGGTTTAATTTAGGTATATATTTATATGTATTATTATTTATTATTCTACAGTAAAAATGTGACCTATATACTTGTTATTATTTATGTATCTTATTTCTTAAATATCAATAATCATTTACATAATGAATACGAGACAATATATAATTGTATTTACTATTTAGTGATAACATTATATGGATAAGAAAATACTCCGAAAATATTTAATATAACGATATAGGTAAGTAATATACTAATATGTTTTATTCATAAAAAAACCGAAAATATTGCTATTAATATTTGTCAATACAATTTTAAAACGATAAATTATGGTTAAAAATGTATAAATTATGTACATCTCTACAATATTTTTTTACTTTTAAGTGTTACGCGATTCATTAAATTCAGTCAATACAAACTTAACTTAATTAAATCAACCACTCTGTATAACAGGTATCGTAACCCGCTGAAAGGACGAAGACACGTGAGTACGCGTTGCCATAGTTACGCCGTGAACGCTTTAATTCGGGGCCTAGGGTGTTCGCTCTTGGGAGATATAAATCGGTCTATGCCATGGTTCAAGGATATTTGTTGTGTTTACAAATCGTTTAAACTCATTCGTTTCCTCAATGTTGTTGCGAAATAATTTTTTGATATTAATTATAATATATTACTTATTAGTTATTACTATAAGTGCACAACGCTTAATGAGTGTGCATTTAAATTTAAACTATACAAACTGCATTTTTTTTTTATTTCTTCACTTTAAATTGAAGTTCATTATTTATTGCATATTGTGACCTATTAATTACTATAATTGTTTTTTTTGTTTCCTAATATTTAATATCTGAAATAATTGTAAAGATGTTAAGTTCATATCTACATTAGAATGGCTATAGTAGATTAACACTTAAATTGTATTTTTAATAGATAAGTAAAATATTACCCAGTTGTTATTGATTTTTGATGTTTTACTAACATTTTCATTTTATTAAAAATGGCGAACCACTAATTAGTTTATTAAATTGATCATATTTTACTTAGGTACTTGAATTCAATAATGGACAGTAAGATTTTTTTAAATATAATTTTATTTAAAAATATTATCTAAAATCGTGTAATAATTATAACAGCTAGTAAATAAATTAATATATTATACTTTAAATACTAAAAAGCAGTAAGTACTTATATCAAACTTCAAATTCTAAATTTTAAAATATATATATTACAATTTAAAATATGATTTAATTTATATACTTACTAGGGGGTCTGTCCCCTATTCATTTCGCTCTCCAACCACCTTCCAATATAAAACTTAAAAACTCTAATATAAAATAAAGGGGGGACCGCTATGTTGTACGGCGACTGGTGAGTTGGTCAGTGACCAATGTAATAATGTATGTATTAAATTTAAATTAAATTTTTCAATGATTAAAAATGCTTCTGATGAGTTCTGATCTGATGGTCTGATACTCTGATCCTATATATTGGCTATATTACTAAGGATGATAATATGTTTTATGAATAAATTATATCGTAATGATATGTTTACCTATATAGATATATTAAATTTATTGATTTTACCGTCAGTAATACCAATAAGGTAGGTTAATTTAATTTTTGCCAAAAATATTACATTTGCATATCTTTCCTAAAATTATCTTTTATTAGTGATAATGGAAAAAACATAATACAGATATGTGGTTTCGGAGGGATATTTTGAGGCGATTAAATTATTCAAGGGATATCATATAAAATTTATTTTTTTTAAAGAAATTACTTCTTAATATTTAAATAATATAACTTTCATTCATAACTACTCAAAAATTGATTGCATTGTTATTAAAAGAGCACAACACACAAAAAATAAGTTTCTAATTTGAAAAAATGTTCAATCCCACAAATTATGGTAGGTATAGGTTTTACATTTCTACTTTCTACTCAGAGGCGCCAACTTTTAGATATTAGCGCGGGGGCAAACTCTTCTATTAAGCGAAAAAAAATTCTATAGTATCAGTATGCTGTAGTTTGCTTACCGGGAGGAGTAATTACAAAATTGTCCCTTAACTCTATTTTAATACTCCTCTAGGGTGCAAAATAAAATATTATGCATGTATATTATTTAAATTTTCTTTATTGCTTTTATTTTTTTTAAATTATTTACATGAAAAAGTCGAGCGATCTATAGTATTTATAGATCATATTTAGGTAATATACAAATATACAATCGTCGATGTTCTAATGAATATTTTCATGTTATAATTTGGTATTTTGACCAAATAATTATTATTGTACACAACGGGGCACGGGGGGGAAATAATACTTTTGCCCCCGTTAAATCAATGTACGGGGGCGATCGCCCCCTTTGCCCCCGTGGAGTCGGCGCCTATGTGACTACTCACATTATTCAATGCAGTGGCGTATATAGAAATAATTTTTAGGGTGGGCTATAGACCATAGTAGACAGAAACTTGCAAGTGATCTATTACTTAGAGGCTATACTGTCTGCTAAATATATTTAACAGTTTCTATGAATATATTCGTATTTGTTATTTTGTGGGCTGCAGCCCATTGTGCCCACCCCCTATATACGCCACTATTTGTGTATAAAATTCCACACCACCTTAGCGATAAACGACAACATTGGAATAATGAAGTCCGTTTAAATGCATGAGGTATTATACATGGCGCGTTTTTTTTATTGTGGTGTCCCCGTTAAGGCCTAATCCACATGTACAAATAAAGTGTCAATTTTATCCACACTTTCGCCACAAAGTAATTTACTGTTAATGATCAATTGTGGATACGTTTTTGTTTTTAACGTATCTATATAAGAATTGTTTAATATGTACCTATGTGTTTTGACAAAGTACTGTGACGGTTGACAATAATTAGAAAAATAATAATGTAATGATGGTAAAATTTGCAAAAGTCTGCTTGAGTTTTTTTTTATATGGCGAATTTGTGGATATAATTTTAAATCAATAGGAAATATTAGAAGAGTTTAATTATTTAAATTATCAAACGCACGCACTGGTGAATTATTATTCAAAATAATTTATTTCAATACAGGTACCCACTGTTAATTTTTTCTGCCAACACCCATAAAGTTATAAGTTACACGGGTTCATTATTAGGAACTTTACTTTTTTTAATACTCCCATATGGATATTGGTGAAAAATGTAACAGTAACAACAAACCAAAGTTAGAATAGTGGCAATAAATATATAAACCATTCAAGTAATTTTAGTTAAATTAAATTGACACTTTATTTGCACTTAAACTATTGTATATTACTTACCAGACTTACCTGTAGAAATATTTATATTATTATTTATAAGTTATAACTATATACAACTTCCGAGCCCTAATTATAACATTTAAAATACTATCCTCGTC